GCCKGCAGTCGGTGTCCTGACAGAGATATCCTCACCAATGCGTGGCAGCGACTCATCAGACTGGAAAAATAGTCCTGAAAGCGAGCTGTGAGCCTCTACTCTGAATTATCTGGTGAATTAATTATGAATTAATTATCTGGTGAACGTGACATGCTCTTGCTCTCTGTAAATAAAGCAAAGTCACTTCCTCGTCCGACATTAAACAGAGCCCGACAGAGGAGGGAGGGGCGGGGAGGCTCTTGCCGTGCAGCGCTTCAASAGCTGTCCTGCGTCTGACCTCAAAGTGCACAAGCTTCAAACTTCAGCGTTGGCTGCGATTTTGAAGCTGAAATGGCGTTCGGTGTGAACGCAGCATTAGTGGCGTGGACCTAGCTTTGATGCAGTGCTCCTCTGCTGCCACTAGATGGCGACAACCAAGTCCTCGCTGTTAAAAACGACTGCTCCGCTAGCTAGTTTTCTGGGGGAAACCCTGAACGTCTGTACGTTTGCATGTTGTGGAGATGTCAAAGCTGATGCATTATTATACATAAACTTCACTCCTTTCATTGACAGAAATACAGACAATACGCTGCAGCCTCGTGTCAATTAAAATGTACAAAAAATACTTTTATGTATCCGTTATGACATTAATAGGATATATATTTTATTGTGTAATTTTAGTGACACTTAATTCAGTCCTTTTGATGTTATTGAATATGCTTAGTGTTGTGGTTTTCAGCTTTTATCCAGTGCAGTGTTGAGACGCCACACCTGATTTAATAAATAACAAATACTGACCAAATTCTTAAATATCGACAGTAGGTTTAGGGATCACGTTTTAACTTCTTGGGTCACAGGACCAGTGCGAAGTAGACTAGTTATTCTGACGTAGACCGTTTGTAAGGATTTTAAAAATAAATGTAAACCTAACTGAGAAACTGCGATAGTTATAACACATCATACCATTTGACCGGCATCATTAAACCTGGCCAGCTTTTTACATCCAGCTCCTAAGTCCACACCTTTCTGCATGAAAAAAAGTAACTTCTTTTAATGTTAAAATCATTATTTCTGCACCAAAAACAAAAGCTAATTTGAATTCTAATGAGTCCATCTCTAATAAGAACACTTTGAGTGCAAACTGTGAGAACTGACAAACTTCCTTTTTGTTCCTACAGCGTCTCAACAGAGTTCATCATTGATAGAAGACGACTAACAAGTTTCCTCTGAGTAAGCATCACACACGTGTACATACACACCTTTGAATAGGTATTACACATTGAAACTTAAGAGATGTAGATTCTGTGGGAAGTCTCTTTGGCAGCAAGTAAACTTTGCTTTGGCTCGTTGTCAGTTTTTTTTTTTTTTGGGATAATGAACGAGGGGGACACATTTACAGGTTTTACGACCAGATAAATATTTATTCCAGTGTTGTGGTTCTTTTAAAAGCTGTGCTACACTTCCTCTATCCAAGCGTGTCTCTGTTATGAGCCATTTGTGCAATGTGAAATAAGATTTGTGGATTTTTATTTATTTATAGTTTGGGCCAAGGTTTGTCATTTACAAGTTCACAGGTTCAGAGTTTTCCTACATGCTCCTACACACATACGCTGCAGGGCCAACTATTCTCGTGTTCTTTATGTACGTTTCCTTTTGTGTGGCCATCCGTAACCGAGCCCGTGTTGCAGAGGCTTTAAATGCCCAGCGCCTGCCTGGACACATCCGTGACATGGTTTCCGCATAAACGGAACACTGCAGTGGATTAACGGGGAAAGGGCTGGCGAGCCGACGAAGCCGCACGGGGCCAACGGGGCTCAGCGGCTGGACGTGGGCGCACAAGGTTTATTTTAAGTAGAAATGCCTTCCAGTGCATCTCCGGAGAGCTAGGATTGCCGAGCCGCTCTCTCCGGCACACTGAATAGACGGCAGACGCATTGCAGACGAGCGAGCCAACTATGCAACAGCTCAGCGGTACTAATGCTAATGCTGGGGGGAGCAGACCGCTGTGGGCATCACATTATCAGGATCACATCGTAGTCCATCATAAGCCCATCCACATGGCTTTTACAAACCTTGTCAGGACAGACTGGACGAACACTCAAATGTCTACAGGTGTAACACAAAGTGTTTTTGCACAGTTCTGCTACCAGGCGTCTCCGATTTCTTTTAGAACTGAAGCCAGCTTCACTATTTTAGACACTCATCACCAAAATATTGACCTGACTGTCTGTTCTCCCAGAGTCTGAGAGCTACAGATTCCACATCCACAGCAGCCCCGGCACGGTTTGATCACTCCCAGCTCCCGCGCTGCACAAGCTCGACACAGAACAGATGAGGAAATATTAGAGGACAAAGTCCGAAAGAGCTCTGAAGTGACAACCGCGCGTTGCGTAACGCCCACCGTTGCTTCAGCAGCATTAAATCTAATTTTCTGGCTGTGCTTGGCCAATACCTTGTCAGAGATTGCACATCCCCAGCCTCGGATTTGTCATAGAAGCAAACTCCATACGTTGCAAAAAGCTTGATTTTTTTAAAATATATATATATATAATCCATGTCTGAGCCAAGACAAAGCTCTCTGCCATGCAGTCTAATCTCGACTTACAGCATGAAGGAAAACAGTAACATAGTAACTCAAGCAGGACCACCCAGATGCACAAGCTGATGTGTGACTGAATGGCATGAAGCAGACCAAGATGGCCTCCAGCCAAGAATCACACTGTAAAGTATTTTTTTAAAAAATCACGTCTGCAGGAGATTACAGTAGTTGGTTTCCTCTGTCTTGTTTTTCAGTCTGAACCTCGTGCTCTGTCACTACACAGCAGTTTCATGTTAAGTTTTAATAACCGTGATGAATTGCTTTGGGAAGTCTTGTTTTCAAAGACATTTTGGCAGGTTCTTCCCATCTGTGGCAAAGAAATGGAAAGTGAAATAAAATTAAAAAAAACTGTTTCGACAGTCTCTTCTCTGAGCAGCCCCCCCGACTGCCTCCTGTCTGGTCTCATCACTCCAATAAAAACAGATTTGAGAGGCAGGAGCAGTTCTGATGCTGTGTATTTGGACTGCCCTGTCCTAGACTGCAGTCTTTGCCAAATTCCCTGGTTTCCCTGGAGGATTGTGAAACGCTGTAACTCAGCACACGGCGCAGACGGTAATGATGATCACTGAGACCTTGGCTGCAGATTGAGAGCGTGTGCCTTGGCTGCTGCTGCCGCCTCGCACAGTTCTCAAAACTCAGCAAATCTGTTTGCAGAAGTTTAAGTTTTGCACAATTCCAGCATGTGGATCGTGCAGTACTCCATTTAACACGAACTAATTGACAATATGTTTCCTGTAATCCCTTTTAATAAGCGATAAGTTTCCAACAAAAGCAGGAAAATCAGTCAGAAATGCTGCCGAGGTTAATGTGCACTTTTAACAAGCAGTGGTTTGTGAAAGTCGTGAGCAGCCTCTGAAAACCTGCACACACCCCCTTGTTGGAAGTTTCTCCAGGAATGAGGATAATGGGGCCTCCAGCCGTGCCGCTGGCTGCTGGCGAGGAGCTGAATTCCTCACAACTTCTAATTGCTCTCAGGAAATGGACACGTTTAGCCGAGCTGAAGACAGATAAATTATGTGAGCAAAGAAACGAGTAACTTCACCATCTGCCCAGTTAACACGCACCCTCTGGCCCGTTCCCCCCTCACCTCCCCACTCCAGCCCACATTGCAAAGATTTGTTTTGGGCCGGAGCCAGAACATGAGTTGAGGGTTCTATATTTCCACGAGTAAGACTCGGCATTTCCGCTTCCCCGCCCTTGGCTTCAGCTCGTCTCCCTCTCAGTTAGCCCCCCGAGCGCTCGCGGTCCTCCGTGTCCTTCCCGCCGCCTTTTCTGGGTGTCTTTTGTCTGAGGGGGGGTAAAACAGGGACCCAGAATCTGCGGCGCTGGATTTTCTGCCCGACTGCAAAAGCACAATAACGTTGTTGCATCATCAAACGCTGACCGCTAATCTTTGGCTGCAGGCTGCTGCTGAGAAGAAGAAAAACAACAACACAAAAATACCATTTTTTTTGAAAAACAATGTAAAATTCACTTTGACTCATGCTTTTTGAGTATTTAATTCAGGAAATAAGTCTGTGGAGCAGTCTGGAAGATGAGGTAAAAAATGCCAGATCTTTGTATATATTAAAGAGAATGATAAAATCTAGTATTCTGAAGAAATATAAGTGAATCCATGCAAATTGTTGTATGAGTTGGAGTTTTAAGTTTAGCTTTGTTTTTTCAGTTGTTTTGATTTTTGTTGTAATTTACTTTCATTTTGAACATATTTGGGTATAAAAGGGGCAGATATAAGATATTTTTCTTCTTCCGCTGCCTTTCATTTTATTTGATTTTATTTTGATTGCATGTTTTTTGCTCGTGTATAAAATTGTTACAAATAAAATGAATAAATTTCTAAAAAATATTAATAATTAGGCCTACGAGACGTGCATCAGCAGCTGCGCTGTGCAGAGACTTCTTCAGGGTTTCAAGTCTTGAGGTCTGAATGGGTGTTGAGTTTGAAGCGGGGATTTTCAGACACTTCTGAAAGAGGCAGAACAGATTCAACAAGTTTACTCAGAGGTGAGACTTGTTGTGTGTCGGAGTCTACATTAGGTTGTCTGGAGAGAAGTTCAGCTCGCTTTAATTTCAGTTTAGTTTTGTTTAATGTGTGCCTACATACAGAAAGTGTTCAGCTTTGTTTAGGTGAGCCACACAAGGATCAGGACGTCTCTTTCAGAGCTTCACGTATTGAAGTTGCATAAGAAAACATTTAGAATATTGTGGAACTGCTCGTTTTTTTTTTTTTAGTTGTTCAGAGTTTGAGCCTGATTAAAGTGTGTAAAAGAGCCACGGTCAGCTTGGCTCTAAAAGTGATTTTTCTCCATCAGTCCTAACGGGAACGTCGGACACTCGATGTTCTCCCAAAAGCTGTGAGTTTGAACAGGGAGAATATGGAGGTACATCAAGAGTAAATGTCACAATCATTTTCCTCGTTCTTGTTGATATCCTGTCAGCTGAACGAGAAGACCCTTCTGAGACCCTCAGAGAAGGAATTCTGCCTGAGTTGTACTTATTTTTGGACCAAGGTTGTCTTGTTCTTTTCCTCTCCGGTAAAAAGCAGCAGCTTACAGTTTAAGACGCTGTAAAAGGGAGTGTACATTTAGTGGGAGGGAGGGGCAGCAAGAACTCAAGAAATAATAAAAATGAATCATGGGGCGCTGGCTGCACAAAGTAGCCTCTCCTGAACCGATGCAGACTGGGGATGGTACCGAACGGGTCCGACAGAGAATGATGGGATGTTTGACCGTGAGTGAGCCGCTTCTGTTTGTAAAGTTAGGAAACCCCTTTTTTTTTGTTTTCCTGGAAGAAAACATAGTTGATGAGTAATAACACGGGCACGCTTATTGGAAAAAAAGAGGAATTTGTGACAGATACTTCAGTCAGAAATACTTGATTCACTTATTTGCTCTTTGTCATACAGCAGACTAAAAGCAGTGAGACTAAGCCGTACACAGGGTGGGGTACAGTAGAATAGAGTTACATAACCCTGCTTTATAGGCTTTGTAATAGACGTTTTGTACAAAAAAATGGGCAGAGAAAGGAAAAACTTGTAACTTTCAGCACAGTCTGTCTGTCGGATAGTGAGCCACCAGCAGTGTCAGCTGTTTCTGCAGCACCTCACAATACACGTCTTTGTTGGGTCCATGTGAGAGGGGCTTTGTTCGCTTTCTGCCAAACCTGTAGAGGTTCAGCTGCAGCTGAAAGCTCAGAAGGCAAATGTGAATAAAGCTATTAATCTATTTTATTTTTCCGGTTTTCTTTTAAACTTAACCAGGGCTGGCTTTTAATCCTAATTTGTTGAAGCTGTTGCAGAATTAATTGTCTCAGATGTGTAGGCGTTTTGTGGAAAAAAAAAAAAAAACCTTCAGATCCACCCAGTGACTGGTTTTCTGCTCATGCAACATCTCAGTATAAGATATGATTGTTTTACTCAACCTCATTTCAGAAAAAACTAAAACAAAGAACGACTCATTTTTAAAATTTGACATGAATCTGACACACCAGAAGAAACCGTTAAGAGTCGCTGCTCTCTGACTTAAAGATTGTAGGGTTGAGGGCAGATTAAAGTCCGTTCCCATCTGAAACATTTGTTTTTTATTTGGCCATCAGAGGTTTTCCAACTCTGAGCCCTCAAAGTAAATACAGAGACATCTTAATTCTCCAATCCGTTCCTTTTTATTACTTTTTTCCCCTCATTTCTCCCTGATTACATTAAAGATCACTGCGGTCAAAACCCTCTGAACGGCCCGAAATTATTGGAAAAGTGCGGCGATCGAATCCAGGAGCTTTTGTTGCTCTTTGTTCTTCAGACCCTCCTCACATAAACTCAAACGAACACTGGAGTCCAAAAGCAATAAAAAAAAAAAAAAGATCAGAGGCATCGATGTGGAAGACGGCGCTCTGTTTACTCGATGTTCACACGACAAACTACAGACGGGAGCGAGTCGCCGCCGACAGCGTGAGGGTTTCTCCTTCAGCTGCTGACTGACACGAGAACACAGCTGTCAACTTTTGAACACATTCTTGGAAACAGCAACCCATATTTAGAGTGACATTTGATGACAGCGACTGAAGACCGAAAAACTATTTCTAAAAGAGACACATTTCCTGGTATCTGATGGGAAGCAGTTCTTTCTCTCTGAGCTGTAGCTGGTGACGCCCGCACCGGGACGTTTGGTTTTAGTTTGATCACAGTTCAGTGTCACTTCGCAGCAGGCGTGATTTATTCCTTTTTAAATGGTTGAAATGATTTGTTGCATCAGAGCGGGAAGGAATCTGTTTATGGAAACTCAAGCCTGCAGGTTGAATTTCTGTTTTGCAAACAACAAAACTGAAAACAGTTTTAACGCTGTGACCTCATTAAGGTCACTGTGCTAAATGGCTTCAGAATGATGGGATAAAAGCAAAAATCATAAATGTTTCAAACTTATAAAAAAAACTAGGATTTATAAACAATCTTTTCTTTAATGTTAAGATTTGTAGCCTGCAGGAAAGCAGGCCACATTATAACAGTATTTTGTACTTTCCACTATTTACCCATAAGCTTTGGTAAACTTACATCATCATCATTTTTGCGTGATTCTCCCAGACTAACCGTTTCCCCTCTTCCTCTTTGCTCTGTCACCACAGCGGCAGCGGAGGACATGATGCCGGGACAGATACCCGACCCTTCACTGGCGGCGGGCTCCCTGCCCAGCCTGGGCCCGCTGGCGGGCATCTCGGCCACCACGCTCACAGATCAGCTGAAGCTGGCAGACCTCCATCAGCTGAGCACCGTCATCTCGCCGCTGCACTTCCTGGGGAGGTTTGGGAAGAGGCCGCTCAGCATCAAGACCGAGGTCAGAAAACCGTGCTGAAGGAGGGCGTGTTTTGTTTAAAGCCCTCCGCATGGAGAGCAGACATTAGCTGCGTTTCCATTACAAATGTGCACAAACGTTGTCGATATTCTGTTAATGTCGAAAAAACACAGTTTCACAACTGCAGTGTTTCCATTAAGTAAGAAATGCTATTAAAGTCACGCGTGAATACGTTCTCGTGATAAGTCATTACAAACATGGTGGCAATGGATGTAAACACATAGCATGTTGCTACCACGACACTAGCGCTCATCAGAGGAGACGTCAGCGTCTTTTATCGAGGCTTTCCAGAGACAAGCCCCTACTTGGGAGCGGCTACGTATGCTGTGTTTTTGGGAAATTGTAGTTGGTGAGTTTACTACTTTATTTTACAACTTTGGTGATTTTGCTACTATTTCTACTTCCTGTTGTCTTCTTGTTCTTCGTCTTTTTGCCAGTAGAAACAGCTTGTTCTTGATCACGTGACTCCTGATGCGAAAAAAGTTTCCATTGCAGTTTTGCGAAAAACACCAATTTCCATACTGCCGAAAAACCACCTCATCCTAGCGCAAAAACATTTTGTCGAAAAACGTAAGTTTTTTTTCCGAAATTGCTGTGTTTCCATTGAGCAAATTTTGTTTTCGAAATTCTAATTTGCGCATTTTCATGGTCAGTGGAAACGCAGCTAATGTTTTATGTCAGAAAACTTTCACTTTGCATTTATCTTTATATTAAAACACATTGTTTTTGCAGATGGATGAAGATGAAGAGAGAAGAAAACGAAGGCGAGAGAAAAACAAGGTTGCAGCAGCCCGGTGCCGAAACAAAAAGAAGGAACGTACCGACTTCCTTCAAAGGGTGGGTTCATGACTCAGCACTAAACAGCAGAATAACGAAAACAGCCGAGAAAAGGCTGAACTTATTTCTCTTCAAGTTGACGTTGCACTTTTAACTGGAACCAGTGAAGTTTTCTAAAAGATCTATCTGATTCTGGTCGTCAGGAGTCGGAGCGTCTGGAGATGGTGAACTCTGAGCTGAAGGCCCAGATCGAGGAGCTCCGCCTGGAGAGGCAGCAGCTGATGGTGATGCTCAACCTCCACAGGCCCACCTGCATAGTGCGGACCGACAGCGTCAAAACGCCCGAGAGCGAGGCCAACCCGCTGCTGGAGCAGCTGGCCACCGAAACCAAATGAAACCCGAAGACTTGAAGTCTTTAAAGCCTGACCCAGGACTGCTGCGGCCGCCGTTTGAACAAACACTTTAACTGGCAACATGATTCTGAACAAGCACTTGAGCTCCACGCTTGGAGACTTTTAGCCCAAAGATCTGAGGTTGTGGGGTCTGCTTCAGCACTGCTACATGAGCTGGCTCTGTCCTACAGGAGACTGGAAACGCCTACTGTGCCTGCCCCGGTTGTTACGTCCACCGTCTCCACATAAAGGGACCAATAGAAGCAGGAGGTACGAGTGGAGGCGCAGCCCTGAGGAAACACTAACAGCGTCACGGTGCTCTGTTACCAAAAACCATTGTGCGGAGGCTCACAAAATAAAAAGCATTGTGCAGTTTTCCTACGTATGCTAGTCAAAATCTACAGGTGTAGAGTTTTAGGTTACAATCCTCAATGCAAACACCAGACGGGGTACAGTTTGTTGTTGTTTTTTAAGTTCCTGTCTCGACGACGGCAGTTACCGGTTGATCCGATTTGTGACGCAGGCGTCCTGAAAAGCACATATTCACAAAATGTTTACACCCTTTGTTTTTTTTTATTTTTGAACGTGTCTGTTCATTATTGTACTTGTTTTATACCGCTTTGTATACATAAATGTATGAATTACTTGTTAATCACTTGATGTGATTCGTCTTTATTTCCGATCCGTGGCGTCGCGCTGTCAAACAGCTGTGAAAACGGAAACCTTTTCAGCTGAGCAGTGTTTCTGTCTGTTCTGCACCTGTATCCATGTACGAGCTCGCATATCCTGAATAGATTAAATTTTATTTTCTAACTAAAAAGGATGTAGTCGCTGCTGTTGTTCATGTTTTTTTTTTATTATAGGCTCCAATGTGCAGCATTGCAAAACTGCTGTGAGTCTCTGCATTTCTTACCATGACACCAGAAATATCAAATGACAAATTGTGCAATCATGTTTTCTTCCACAAAATACATGTTGCCAGAATCAGGGCTTTACTTTCATTTGCACAAGGGTTTTTAAAAAAGGTCAATCATGCTTTTGTTTCCCTTTTCACCCCTCTTGATTACTTTAGCTTCCTTTTTTTAAACCTCAGCAGAGAAAAGGATTCTCATGACTTTTAGCTGACAAACATCTTTGTGCCTTGGCTCAGTTAAAGGTTTATTCTGAAATATTTTAAGCAGAAAATAAAGTTATTGTAGTTTACCTCTATTGCTCACAGAGCATGTGATCCATCCTTTCTCTTCTGATGATGCATTCAGTGTCACTCTGGTCACGTTGGAATATTTATCTGCGAGCCTCTTGTGCAGCAACACTTCAAGAGTTTCTCCAGTCGGTAAGTTCCTAAGCTTTAAAAAGCTTCTCACCTGGTAAACAAAAACACAACAGGAGACACTGAACTGTTAAAAAGCAGAAGTCCTGTTTCCGTACGAAATGGAGGGAACAAGCTTTCTAACTTCAAGGCTCAACTTCAAACTCTACTTAACAGAATTAGATCCAACAAATGGTGAGAGTTTAAGCATCTACTTTATTAGTCAATTTTTTTAAATCTGAATTTTAATTTATTGCATTTGCTTGCAAAGTGGCCAAATGTTTTTCAAAACAAAAAGATGTAGTTGGCAAAACATGATCAATGAGGAAAATCAATTTCAAATATATATATTTTTTAATCCTAAAATAAAAAGCAGTGGTGAATGAACAGCTCCATCTAGTGGACATTTATATGAACTACACGTTTCATAAGACTGCTTTTTAATCTTCACAAGTAAAAAACTAGCCACTACTTTTATTATCGTGGTTTATTTTCTCTGATGCATCTGTTTTTTAAAATAAGTATTTGGAGAATTTAGTTATCAAGGAATTTAGCGAGTTAGCTTTACATGCTAATGAACTGTCACATTCATTAACAAAAATAGAACGCTACTCATCCATCGTTTCCTCTGCAAAACGTGTGTTAAATTTTTTAATACACCTGGTGAAGAAAATCAAAGAAGATAAGAAGCCGTCTGACCAGGACCCAAAGCAGAGGAGACATCCTGTGGTGATGAGTGGGACTTCGATCTGGGTTTATAAAAAAAAAAAAAAAAAAAGATAAAAACAGCCTACACTTTTTAATTTTTTTGCATAAAAGTATACATACTCTGACAATTTAAGCTAAAATATTTTCAAAATTTTGATATAAATGTAAAAAGTTGTTAAAGTGAGGACTAAAAAGTTTATTTGCAAAACATTTTCTAAAGTCCTAAAACTTGAACTGGGATTGAGTAAAAACATACATCATTTATGGGTTTTACTCAAGACAGTTTATTTTATTTATAAAATTTATTCGTTTGAAACAAATCATAAATTCAATATACAATTTAATATACAAATCAATTAAATGAAAGGTAGCAGAAGAAAAAAATATGCCCCCTTTTTCCTCAAATAAATTCAATTAAAAATAATCTATGTACAAAAACAAAACATACAAAAAATTAAATAAATAAAAGAAAAAATAAGGTTTAATTCCTTCTTGACCAACAATTCATACATTATACCCATACATATTTCTCCAACAAATTAACCTTCATCATTCTCTTAAATACTCACACTGATCTGGCATTTTTAATGTCATCTTCTATTATTCCATAATTTAATTCCCTGAAGAACTCAGTTCCCTCAAGCTGGTTCTAAATTTAGGTTTAAAAAACATCTTTATTCCCTTCAAATTGTAACAACTCTCTCTTTTAACAAAATGTAATTGGATGTTTGAAGGTAAAGTGTTTTTATGAGCCCTATACATTACTGATAAAACACCATAATCAACCAATTCAGAGAATTTCAATAACTTCAACTGATGGAACAATATATTTGATGGGTGACTAAGGTTTTCTGGTAATAATTCTTATAGCTCTTTTCTGTAAAATAAAAATAGGATTTGTTATTGTTTTACATGCTTTTTTAAATCTGCGCAAAAATAACTTTTTCCTTGTTCTTGCCATAAGAAAAATAAAAGACCAGCTTGTCAAAATTACATCAGTTCATTGAGTTAAGTTACTGATATTTTTACTTTATGTAGTTGAGTGTCCATGTTGCTTGGCATAGTGTCATGTTTGGTTACAATTAAGAATAAAAAAAAATTCACTACTAAACTAATATGGACTAGTTGTATGTGGATTCTCTTTCCATAATATAAGTAGTTATTAAATCAAGTGTTCACTAGGTAAAATATGTTTAACAACCTGTTAAATTACACCACAATGCAGGAAATGGCCTCTACTTCATTAAAAAATTTTTTTGAGGACCCCCAGACTTCACACCAGTATGTCCCCCTCACTTTTCAAATGCTTCTGACGCCCACGGTGGTGGGGCTCATCTCTGGGGGAGACGAGTCTGCCTACAGGGGTGAGGTGGAGCAGTTAACGGTGTGGTGCAGACACAACAACCTGATTCTGAGCACAACAAAAACTAAGGAACTGGTTGTTGACTTCAGGAGGAAACAAACTGACATCCAGCCGTTACTTATCAACGTTCACTTCTTGGGGGGTTCAACTTTCAGAGGACTTAAGCTGTGGTGTTAACACCAAGGAGGCCCAGCAGAGACTATTTCCTGAGGGTCCTTAAGAGGAATAACATCACGCAGAAACTGCTGGTGACCTTCTACCACTGCTCCACTGAAAGTGTGAGTGGTTCTCTAGTCCCACAGTGGCTCAGAAGAAAGCGCTCCAGAGAATCATAAAGGTGGCTCAGGACATTGTTGGGTGCCCTCTGCCCTCTCTGGAGGAGTTACACAGGACCTGTTTCCTCCAGAGAGCACGACACATACACAAAGACTCATCACACCCCGGGAACAGTTTGTTCGTCCAGCTACCAGAAGGTTCAGGACTGTCAGGACCATCAGGTAGAAGGTTCAGGACTGTCAGGACCATCAGGTAGAAGGTTCAGGACTGTCAGGACCATCAGGTAGAAGGTTCAGGACTGTCAGGGCCATCAGGT